ACTCCAATAGCATTAGATGCACGCTAGTGGTTCCAATTAAACTCAAACCCAGATTCTTGCAGTTTGTGGTCTGAGCTTCTACCGTTGTAGAGAGCAACAACCTCGTAGAGTTTTGGATAACAATTAAAATAGACTGGCAAGAAATAAGGAGCAGAAATAATAGATGCGAATTGACCTGTATATAAGCGCGTGAAATCCTCGGGAGGTGAGGTTTTTGTGATACTTGATCATGCTTCCAGCATCATGCCTAAATAAAATTCTGTCCGTGCATAGCTCCCAAGTGCCCGCCACACTTTCCTAGCATGTCATAGGGATTATAAATGAATGCTTCAAAGGACTGAAAATTTTGAGATGATCAACACTTACTGTTTCAGCATTTATTGCTTTCCGAACTACTTCATTGTTCAGCCATGAAGTTGCAACTTCATCATCCTGCATGTTGAATTCCAATCATGAGAGTGCTGGCAATAAATTCTGACAAGATTGCCAAACGTCAAGAGGCAAGCAAGCCCCCCAGCAGTAGGCGATGCGTTGTTTGTGGAGAGAAACAAAACATTTAAATGCAGACAGGGTGCCACTCCTAGCATGATGGATGTCCAGTCTCCAGCGCTGGCATAGACAATAATACATAATTCTCTAACACTTAAAAAGCTTCAAGTGACACATTTTGCTGCCCAGTTTCTTGACCTTCTAGCGTACTTTAGTAAAATCAGATGGTTGCCACATCCTGTGGTGCCATGTATGATTTCTAGAATCTTCTTCAGGTTTTAGGGGTTGGAGCAGATTTTCCTAATTCTCGTGTTATCTAGAATTGTTATCATTCCACTTGAATGTATGCACCATAGAAATAACTAATTGTATAGACATTTCTTGAATGCCAAATATCATGTACTGTAGAGTGAATTTAAGCTCATGTAACTAAAGTTCACATCCATTTTGATCATAAAGTAAGATCACACGTCACTACAGTTGTAGTTCGCATAACCTATGAAGCATTAACACTCAAATTTCGCTCACGTATCCGTATCCGACACATGTGGGACACGGACACTTCCTGGACACGTGAAGGAGTGTCCTATTTTTTTTTCAAATTTTTTTTTTCAGAAACGTTGTAGACACGTGATGGACAAGCAGGAATAAATTTTTTGGACACATTGGGTTATCTGTAATTTAGTAAGTAAAATTACGAGGTCTATTTACTTTTATATGAAACAAATGGGACCATTATGTAATAAAAAGGGGTTCCATATGAAAATATTTTACTTGATATGGGAGAGCTTGAGGTTGCACCACTTTCACTTTATGAATTTGAGTTGGCCATGGTCTTTACTCAATGTAGGCGGTGTTGGTGATAAGGCAAATTAAGTTTAGTCATTATGGTTAATAGAAGTTCCTTTTCTAAGGGAGGAACAATCTTTTTATTTTTGTTTATGGGTAAATATAACATTGGGTGTTTATGTAATTATGATCTCAAATGGTCAAATAAAGAATGTTGAATGAAGATAAAATAGAGGAATCAGTCTTTTATCATGCTTATTGTGGTACTTTTAATTTTATTTAGTGGCTTTGGTATTTGAGATATCTAGATGATAATGTTGTGATTTGTGTGTTCTAATCATAGTTGTCAAATCGCGTATCGTTTTTCAAAAATAGTGTCATATCATATCATGTATCATAAGATATGCACAATTTTAAATAATTATTAATAAAATATATATATACACCTTTGCAAAAAAATCATAGACTCATAATAATATAGCATTTCATTAATACTTTGCCAACTATTCAAGTTCCCAACATAGTTCATCAATATTAAAATACAAAGATCTCTAATTCAAACTTCTAACATTAACTACTTGAACAACCATAACATTAATCAGAAATTTTGAATTCAATTGAACACCATTACCAACAGTTTTTTTTTTAAACCCTAGTCACTGAAACGATGTTGTTTCACTAGTTAGGAATTAAAAAATAAATCTTAAGGTGAAATGACATCATTTCAGATCCAAAAAACCAAAAAATAAATTAAAAAAATAGCAAAATCTTTACGTATCGTATCGTGTATCATACAATACGATGCAAAATCAATTCAGAGACACGATTCGTATCGTTTTTTTGGTGTATCGTAATGTATTGTATGATATGTATCGCTTATCGTACGAAACTAATAACTATGATTAATACCTTATTTGATTGGAAAAAATACTAGGTTTTCATTATATAGTCATATAAAAAAATAAATTGAATTTATTGTTCACCGTGTCCGTATCCTACCTTTTTGAAAAATCACTTGTCCACGTGTCCGAGTTGTGTCGTTTCCGTGTCTCGTGTCCGTGCTGCTTAACTCATAACTTAATATGAGAAATGAAAAGGGAAAATATATGACTTGAGATAGAAAGAATCATGCATATTAACCATTATGGATTAGGCCAGATGGCTTGGTTTTCACATTCCAACTGTAAGCCCCGAGGTTCCCTTGCTAGATGTAAGGTGTGTATGTTGTGGAAAAAATGCTAGTCCTTACTGGTCTAAGACCTGAACTTGTTTCTAACGCAACGCTTCTCCCATCCCCCTTCTCCTTAAGATGGGCCAAGAAACATACATGTATATTTAACAAAAAAGAACGATTCCTGAAAGAGTTTGTGATAAAAATGAACCAGGATAAATTTTAAGAAATGTTGATCAGAAATCATAATTGGGCACACGATGCTGATAATTTAAGGTGTGCTGGCATATGAACACATATATTCAAGGAAAGCTCCTGGACATCACCAGAAGAAAAGGAGAGATAGTAACTTCAGTGACTTACAGTGCATGGGACACTGTTAACGTTGAGAAGCTGTGGCCAAGTTGGGACAATTCCTTCTCTGATGGGAGCTCTAAAAGGCCATGCACGGCCAAACATTCTTTTTCTCACAGGAAGAGGCCTTTCAGTCTCACCTAATTTCCTGAAGCTCAATGGCAACCTCGTGTTGCCAGTCGTAATCTCACTCAATTCTGTGCCATGATAGCAAGGTTCCAGAATGTCGTACATGTTTAAACCATCAATGTCCTGGAGTTTAGTCAGAATATTAGAATCTATTGACAAATAAAAAGCAAATAATTTGCTATCTAGTAGCTCTTTTTATATAAAGAAGGAAGCAGTATCTTACTTCATCAACTTTGAAAAGCACGCTTTCACAATTATAGCTTGTTGGATTATAATAGTTTCCTTGACATACTGAAGTGACTTCCTGCAGTATGTTGCATGAATTATCAGAAAAATGTGGCTGAAACGGTCAGATAATGGACATTACGTATGAAAAAGACGGATCTAGAATAAATCTGGAAGTTTAAAAAAATCTAGAATTTTCAGTCAGATAATAGGATTCTTCTTTTTTTTCCATAAGTAGATGATGCGCAGTTTGTCTACCATCATTTGGTTGCAGCTGAAGCACATCCTTGTGAAGCAAATAATTCCACAGTACCCTCAAACAGTGAATACTATAGTGATACAGGTGTTCATTTACATGCTGATGGGTATAGTGGATATGAAGACGTCCTCCAAGTTCCACCCCAATTTTCGAAACAAGTTTTCCTACATCTTTCTCCTTTTAGATTGTTTTTTTCTTGTTTTTTTCTTTTTACTAAGTCTAGACCTGACATGTGAAAAAAAAATGGTAACAACACAAGTTTTCACTTCATGTACACTTAATGCAGTGCTAGCCCATGGTTTCACTGCTTGCGTTGCAATCATATTTGGACAAAGATAAAAAATTTCAGCCGGAAATATAAAATGCTAGGGGCAGCTAAATGCTAAAAATAAGAACCCCGGCCCAGCCTCTCACCCCAGCCAACCCATCCCAAAAAACAAAAAGTTCTAAAAATGAACAGAAAAAGAAGAAACTGGCTGAGATAGTATTGAAATGGAAAATGGAAAAAATTGCAACAGTTATCAAGATCATCAAATTTTGAACCTACTGTTACCAATAGTTCAAGGAAATCTGGTAGTGAGCAAGAAAAAAATAGCACAAATATGCCTAAGATCAATATGAGAAGCTCGACAGACCTCAAATAGTTCATCTGAGATAAGACCCATCCCATGTGCAAATGGAATGAGAGCATTGCCATCAAACTCATCATCTGCAACTCCATTGCCCACCATGTATCCCTGTACGTAACAAAATTACTTTGCAGCCAAAACTTAATTTTGACAGGTTTGGATTGGAAAGGCTTACCTTGAAGTTGAGAATGGGATTTGTGCCAGAATCAATTCCTGCAGAAGTTCCAGAATTAAAGTTTAGGTTCCTTTCAATCACATGTCCAGTTCAGATATCAGAAAAAATACCTTTAACTACTTCATAGGCCAGAGTGGGCACATAAATTCCTGCGTAGGACTCTCCAGAAATATAGAATGGGTTGGATAGAAATTCTGGGTATAGCTCGAACCACTAGCCACAAATGGCAAGTTGTAAAAATTTAAAACGGACACAATATGGGAATAAAACTACGCATAGAAGTAGAAAGTAACTTTCTAAAGTCACAGGTAAAGGTCCTTTTATTCAAATGATACCTTGAGGAGGAATATGTGTGAGTCAGAAGCAGNCCACAAGAAGCTTGCGGAGCTTTGCCATACAGTAGACATTTTTTTCCTCTTTGATGTCATAATTAAGTACCCTTTCATCTCAAATATTATACACAACTTCATCCAAACCTAATTATTCGGGAAGTCGACAATTTAGCAGGATTAAATGCATAACTAATAGATTATAATCAACATCTTCACAAGGAATTAATCCATCAGAGATAATTTATCACAAACAAGGAAAAGAAAGATAGGAAAATTGTATCCATCAGAAATAAATGCTTTATGATACAACCAAAATAATTAACCAAACGCGAAAATGTGGGTTGTAAAGAACGAAATCAACACCGTGTTCATAGACAAACCCATCGAAGCTCGAGCATCCTGGTCCACCATTGAGCCNCAAAAATCTGGGTTGTAAAGAACGAAATCAATACCGTGTTCATAGACAAACCCATCGAAGCTCGAGCATCCTGGTCCACCATTGAGCCACAGAACTACTGGATCCTCTGTTGAATTTCTTTCAGAAACAACAAAGTAGTAATACAATTTCTTCCCATGACTTTCATCAATTGTCACATACNCCACAGAACTACTGGATCCTCTGTTGAATTTCTTTCAGAAACAACAAAGTAGTAATACAATTTCTTCCCATGACTTTCATCAATTGTCACATACCTATACAGTATAAATCCATTTGAATAAAAATGGTAACATGAAAACCCATCAAATAAACAATTTCAAAAAAATATTACAACACACAAATATTATCAAAGGACACTTACCCAGCATAGTGTTTGGAAGGAAGAGTACCATTGAAACCAGGAATCTGTGTGAGCAGTGCACTTTCAGGAGCTGATTGTGTTAACACAAAGCTAAGTGAAATGAAAATTAGTACTGTGTGGAATAAGTTGCTATTCCTAGCCATGGTTAGTGAGTTCAGACACTTTCAATCTGCTATAGCAGAGAGATAGAGAGAGAGTGTCTTAATATTCCAAGCACACACTATTGATGGTGGACTGCATAATAAAATTCTGATGGTTTATAAAACAAGAAATAGAGAGAGAGAGAGAGAGAGAGAGAGAGAGAGAGC